AAGCAAAATCAATTCATGGTACCCAACAAAAGCTTCAACTCCAAAGCTTCAATTCCAAAGCTTCACCAACAAAAGCTTCATCAATGAAGGACAACTACAAATTCTCAAAAGCTTCACACTATCTTGATCAAGATAGTGTGAAGCAAAATCAATTCATGGTACCCAACAAAAGCTTCAACTCCAAAGCTTCACCTACAAAGCTTCAACTCAAAGCTTCACCTACAAAAGCTTCACCCACAAAAACTTCACCCACAAAAGCTACTCAAAGCTTCACCTACAAAAGCTTGACCCACAAAAGCTTGACCCACAAACCCACAAAAGCTTGACCCACAAAAGCTTCACCGACAAAAGCTTCACCTACAAAAGCTTGACCCACAAAAGCTTCACCTACAAAAGCTTCACCAAAAAAAGTTTCACCCACAAAAGCTTGACCCACAAAAGCTTGACCTACAAAAGCTTGACCCACAAAAGCTTCACCTACAAAGCTTCAACACAAAAGCTTCACCTACAAAAACTTCACACTATCTTGATTAAGATAATGTGAAGCAAAATCAATTCATGGTACCCAACAAAGCTTCAACCTCAAAGCTTCAACACCAAAGCTTCGCCTACAAAGCTTTTAATATATATATATATATATATATATATTCGGAATTTCGAAAATTCGAAAATTCGAAAATTAAAAAATTTGAAAATTCGAAAAAAAAATTTCGAAAAAAAAAAAATTTGCCTAAGCTTCATCTTTTTTGGGTCTAACAACTTTCATAACAAATATATATGAAGGAGTTTTGGGCTACCACTTAGAAAGGAAATGCCTCATTCGTCAACTCCCTCGACCGGAGACTTGGGGGACTCCTACCATATGTAGTGCACCTTGATACTCGGAAGTCTCACGACCACTCAGTGACTCGGATTTTTCAAGTCTCCAAACGAGAAGTTTTCCTCACTCGGGAAATTAAGGGAGCACTACCTCAACCTATATGCTTCACTCACAAAGCTTCAACATACAAGCTTCAACAAAAGGGAAAATTCAAAGAACTTAGTGAAGAAGGCCTTGGTGTACTTAACATAATACGTTGAAATAAAGCTAAGCTTGTTTATTGATATTTCTGATAAGTTACAAATATGTACATATACATGAATCAAAATAAACAAATAAGAGGGAGCCTTCACAAAGGTTGCTCAGGAGAAGTCTCAGCAGTCGGCAAAGCCCCAGAAAGAAGAGGCACCAGAGGGTGATTATTCGGAGCCTCAGTACTAGGTAGAACCCCAGAAGGAGGAGGCATTGAAGGTTGATCATTTGGAGCTTCATTACGCGGTACAACCCCAGAAGACGAAGGCAATAAATGTCTTTGGAACAAACCCACAAACCTCTGATGATCAAGTAAAATCTGACCATCAGATTCTTGCAGCTGGTTGAGCTTCCTCTTCATGTTTGTAGCATAGTCATGTGTGAGCCTGTGCAACTATTTATTCTCATGCTTGAGCCCTCTGATCTCCTGTTTGAGACTTATCACTTCAGCCGCCAATGATTCAACTTGGCAGGTTCGAGCAAATAGGCGTTGGGCCATATTAGACACAGAACTTGCACACTGAACACTGAGAGCCAGAGAATCCTTAACAGCCAACTCATCAGACCGTTTGGAAAGTAGTCTGTTATCTTTGGGAGTGAGAAGGTTCCTGGCCACCACCGCAGCGGTCATATCATTCTTCATCACAGAGTCCCCAACGGTAAGAGGAACAGTAGGGGATAAGAAGGATGGGCGCCATATGTTGTCTTGAGAAGGCATGGCTGCCTCTTCACCAAAGTTCAAGTCAAAACGACGGTCGAATGGGTCAGACATTCTCAGAAATGATGAAAGAGAAATGAGGTGCAATAAATCTCTGAAGTAAGGGGAAAATTCCTACAAGCAATAACTCTCTGAATGTACTCCTTGCACATAATTGATGCCCTTATAAAAGAAAGGGCAACAGTGCCGTTGGTTCAAAAATCGAAGAGGCACCACTCTCTGGATTTCGAAGAGGCACCACTCTCCGGATTTCGAAGAGGCACCACTCTCCACACGTAACATCAGCTCCTCATGTACCACAGATAACTTTGCCAAAGATCTCTGACAAAGTTTAGACATATAAATTTTGAAGGTCTAGCAACCCTACTATTACCCACAAGGGTAAAGGAACAACACCACTGCTTGATAACTAGAAAGTCTCAATGTGTGTCAACCTCTGTGCTCTGTGGCAAGGCAGATTGGCAAAAATGCCCAACCTTTACTCACATTCGAGAAAACATTCCCAACAAGATTGGTTGCTAAAAAATCGAAGAGGAACCACTCTCCGAATCTCGAGAGCCAGACTCCTAACAGGATTACTTTCTAAAAAATCGAAGAGACATTGCTCTCCGAATCTCAAGAGTCAAACTCCCAACATGATTGCTTTCTCAAAAATTGAAGAGACACTGTTCTCCGAATCTCGAGAGCCAGATCCCCGACAGGATTGCTTGTTCGAAAATCGAAGAGGCATCGCTCTCCGAACTTCGAGAGCCAGATTTCCTTGGATAAAGCTTGTCTACAATCTTCGCTCGCAACATCAGCTTTCCAGATACCATATACCACTTTTTCAAAGTGCTTTGACAAAGTTAAAACACGCGAAGCTTGCAGCTCCCACTACATTGCTACGATCAAGAAGGGTAAAGGAATAGCATTACTACTTGTTGTTAGGGAAACTCCTATATATGTCGACCTCCATCCTCCACGGACAGGCATACCTACAAAAATGCTCAACCCTTCTTCATATCTAAGAGGGCACTCCCAACGAAGCTAGCAAGGCAGATTGGCAAAAATGCCCAACCTTTACTCACATTCTAGAAAACACTCCCAACAAGATTGCTTGCTCAAAAATCAAAAATGAACCACTCTCTGAATCTCGAGAGCCAGACTCCCAACAAGATTACTTTCTAAAAAATTGAAGAGACACTGCTCTCCGAATCTCAAGAGTTAGACTCTCAACAGGATTGCTTTCTCAAAAATCAAAGAGGCACCGTTCTCTGAATCTCGAGAGCCATATCCCCGACAGGATTGCTTGTTCGAAAACCGAAGAGGCACTGCTCTCCGAACTTTGAGTGCCAGATTTCCTTGGATAAAGCTTGTTTGCAATCTTCACTCGTAACATCAGCTTTCCAGATACCACATACCACTTTTTCAAAGTGCTATAACAAAGTTAAAACACGTGAAGCTTGCAGCTCCCACTACATTGCTACGATCAAGAAGGGTAAAGGAATAACATTACTACTTGTTGTTAGGGAAACTCCTATATATGTCGACCTCCATCCTCCACGGACAAGCAGACCTGCAAAAATGCTCAACCCTTCTTCATATCTAAGAGGGCACTCCCAACGAAGCCTCTCGAAATACTCAGCTTTCTTCCCCCCTAATAATACCTATGCAAACCAGCCACACCAGAGCAATAGTATCTCATATCATCACGGTCAAAAGGAAGAGTATTTCATATCATGCTTTTTCCCTGTCTTTTCCTTTGCCCTTGTTCTTACCTGCAAGGCAAGGAGAAAGAGAGCAATCAGTCAGCACTTGGAATCAAGCTTCCAGTCAGGAACTGACTGCCTGGAACCCCTTGCCTAATTACTTACCTGACATTGCTCTCGAGTACTCATTTTCAACATCTTATGCTTCCAAAAAAGATACCACATCTGCCTGAGCAACAGTTAGGGAAAGTGAGAAGGATACAAGGAAGCATGTGGAGACAAGCGCAACAGAACACATGCCGATTCATATATTACTTCGTCAACAGCAAAAGTATCCCATATCATCAAAGTCGAACGCACTCTTGATTTGATGGACTTGTTTTGACCCTTAAATTCTTGAGTTGGCTTTATACTCTGGAGGAAACTAGAAAACCCTCAAGCCCAATTCAAAAATAAACTTGTGGAAAGTTACTTCTTCAAAAGCAAAAGTATCTCATATAATCTCTTCTCTATTTGCTTCTCCTTATCCTTGTTGCTGTTTACGACACAAGGAGAATGAGAACAATCAACCGGAAGCCGAAGTCGAACCTCCGATCCAGGTTGCTTGCTTGGAAGTCTGATTGCTTACCTTGTCTGTTACCTCTTTCGGCAAATCTCCTAGCTCGGCGACTTGGGGGACTTCTACTATAGGGTTTTGTATCGCACTTAACCAAGTCCGAAACTACAAGTAAGCTTCAAGTGAAATTGATACATTACCTTGTGCATCTTCATCGGTTAAAAGCTCCACCTTATCACGAGGCTCCACAGCAATCTTGTCAAAAATCAACCTATTTCGACACTTCCAAATTCTCCAAAGACCACATACAATCCACCGCAATAGTTTTCCACTCTCCACAGAATCATTATATTTTCGACAAAGCTACTTCTAGCAATCCAAAAAATCACCCCCTCTACCAGAATCAAATCCAACTAAATTTGTGATCCAAACAAGAACACACGAGCAAACGAACATTGAAAAAATAAATGTACCTAGGTTTCCAAAGCTTCATCAAAATGTGGACACTTCGTCTCCAACTGAATACCATGCCATTGCAAATTCATGCTCACATCAAGGATATTTTTGCATCCCTTCCATATAAAATGCCACAATTTTGGAGGAACCTGTAGTTGCCAAATTGCAGACCACACCGGATCCTTAATCTAATCACCACTCGATTGTCCCACACCTTTACGGCCAAGATCTCCATTTCGATTCATCTCTTGAGTAACCAAATACCCTGATTTAACTACATACACACCATTCTTTGTGTAATGCCAAATAAGTTTATCAACATATCCAAATTTACTAAGAGGCATACACAAGATAATACATGCTTCTTCAGCGGTAAAACACCTTTCAATAACATCTTTTTTCCAAATACCTTCATGCGCTATTAAATCCTCAACCCTTCCCGGCATCTCCACATGCCTCGAGATAGGAAGAAAAGTATATGGAGTCGGCAACCATGGGTCCTTCACAACCCTAATATTCCTCCCATCCCCCACCCTCTTTCGAATGCCAGCCTTCAATACTTTCCTCCCCTACATAATCCCTTTCCATCCCCATGAAGTACCTTGCCCCACCGGAGCATCTAGAAAAGACGAAGAAGAAAAATATTTAGCACAAAGAACTTTGGCAAGGAGAGACTTCGGGTTACAAATAATACGCCACCCAACCTTCGCTGGCATAGTTAAGTTAAAAGAAATTATTTCCTTAAAACCAAGCCCTTCTATTGATTTTCCTTTCGCCACTTTACTCCAAGCTATCCAATGTACCCCTTTCTTTGTTTTTTTGGTCTCTCCACCAAAACCTTGCAATCACTTGTTGTGTCTCTTTGGCCAATTGAACAAGTAACTGAAAACATGACATTGTATAGTTAGGTAGAGCTGAGGCCACACTTTTAATAATTATCTCATTCCCAGCAACCGATAAGAATTGCTCCATCCACCCGTTAATTATCTCATCCAATTTATTACGTACTTCTTCAAACATTTTCTTCTTCGACCCCTCAAAATATGCTTGAATACCCAAGCATTTCCCAAAACCCTCTTGATGCTTGACACCCAAATTTTTTGATAGGTGGGCTTTCAAAAACTGTGAGCACCTAGAGCTAAAATGAACCAAACTCTTCTCCAAATTAATAAACTGCCCTAAACCCTCCGCATAGCGTTGAAGCAAGCTATTAACACTTACCGCCTCCATCTCCGTAGCTTGGCTAAAAAGCACCGAGTCATCCACAAAGAATACATGGGAAAGAGGCTTGACATGGTGGTTTACCTTAATCCCCTGAATCCTTCCAATCCTCTCCTCATTATGAATAATAGATGAGAAGCCTTCAACACAAATTAGGAACAAGAAAGGCGATAATGAGTCCCATTGGTGAGGTCATCTACATGGAGTTATATATCCCGTAGCCTTGCCATTTACTACCACACTATATGAGACTGTTTGCACACACTCTATCACCAATTGGCAAAACAAATCATCAAATCCTAATTTATACAACATAGCATTAAGAAAAGACCATTCAACTCGATCATAGGCTTTTGCCATATCCAATTTTAAAGCCATAAAATTTATACCTTCATCATTCCCTTGTTTCATAGAATGTAGTAGCTCATGAACCACCAAAATATTATCGAAAATATGCCGCCCTGCCACAAAAGCCGACTAATTTTGGCTAATCACATTGGGAAGAACTCTCTTTAACCGATTCGTTAGAACCTTGGATATCACATTGTACACCACATTACATAACGATATTGGCTGAAATTGGGACATCTTCGTTGGGTTGTCCACCTTAGGTATTAGCACTATGTTGGTATGATTCCATTCTTTAAGCATCCATCTAGACTGAAAGAAATTTTTAACCATACCCATCACCACTCCACCAATCGTTTCCCAATGATGCTGAAAGAAACCCGCATTAAATCCATCTGGACCTGGTGATTTTGTAAGGTGCATTTGATAGATAGCATTCTCAATCTCCACATTATTCATCGGTGCAATCAAGAAAATTGTTATCCAGCACTCTTACCTTACACAACACACAAGGTAATATGTCCCCAAAGCACACTTGCTGATCACCAAAGAAAAGGGACTGAAAATATTGAATTGCAATGCCATGCATACATAGCCTATCATTACACCAAGTGCCATCCTCCTCCTTCAGTCTACGAATACAATGTCTCCATCTCCATTTCATAGTTTGGGCATGAAAAATCTTTTATTTTTGTCACCTTCTTGTAACCATTGCACTTTAGATTTCTTACGCCAATACACTTCTTCCCTTTTGATTGCACTAGTTAATTCCGATTCCATCTCCCAAATCCGTTGGCCTTCAAAAACCGGTTGCTAATATGCATTCCGAAGCTCTTCCTTCAACCAACATATTTCTTTCTGCTCATTTCGGCCCGCCTCTTTCGTCCACATAACTAAGCCATGACGAACACTTTTTAATTTAGACACCAAATTATAGGCAATAGAACCACCATGATCACCAACCCAACATGCTTAGACCACCTCATCACACTGTACCTCCTGGTTCCATCGCGGATCATACATAAACCTCTTCCTCCTTCGAGGTTGCTCCACCTCAGTCAAAAGAATTAACATTGCATGGTCTGACCCTTCAAGGACCACATGCTTAACCACCACTTGTTGATAACATCGCACCCATTCATTCGTAGCAAGTGCCCGATCAATCCTTTCATGAATAAAACCCTATTCACGTTTGTTGCGCCATGTATAAGGGTAACCTTCAAATCCCAAGTCTAGCAATCTTGCATTTGTCACGAAATTCCGAAAAGACCACATACTTATAGCCGTGTGCAAATTCGCCCCCTTCATTTTTAGAGTCTGATAATAAATCATTAAAATCCCCTATTAACAGACATGGCTCCGGATAGCTAGCTATTCGTTCTGTTAACATGCCCAAATGTTGTGCCCTTTTTTGATCATTCGTACTAGCATAAACAACGATAAGCCACCACTTACATTTTTGGACCACGTCTTCAATCAACATCTCAATGAAAAAATCCCCATATTTTACTAAAACAACATCCTTGGCATCTCTCCAAAACAAACACATACCTCCAGCAATTCCCTAGGCTCAATAGCATGCATACAAGCCATACCAAGCCTTTGTTTCAAATAACGGTACCTCATACTATGATTTTTTGTTTCTAGTAATGCCATAATCTCGGGGGAGTGGAGCCTATTTTGCTCTAGAAAGTCGTCAATTGTTAGGTCTCCCCCAATCCCCTGATAGTTCCAACATATGATTTTCATTGTGAGCACGAAGACCGCTTATAGGTAGCCTCCGCTTGGTTAACACCTGAACTTTGTATTTTGTAATGACGGTACACCACCTTATCAATCACATCCAGCTTATAGTCATTCTCTCGGCTTCATTTCAGACCCTTTCTCGAAACAACCTTAATTATTGGAATGAGATTGAAAGGGTCAGAGTCTTAAGACAATCCTCCATCCTTGTCTTTATCACGCCTATCTTAGTGATACCTTCATAAGATCCAATTGTCTCAACCATCACATGTATATTCAAATCAATCTCTTGAACAGGTTGTAACACCTCAGTAGTTTTCGTAATACCTGTCTCCACTTTTGGATGGTTCACCAAAACTACCTGCCTTGCCTCCGATGTAATCGAACCACCCAGACCAATGAGGCCTGCATCAAAAGTTTTTTCCCGTCCCATCCGCTGACATTTTATCTCCTCAACCTCCCTTGCACGACGTACATTGTGGTCTATATCGACTAAATTAGATTGCCGTCACTAATTCGGGGACGAGGAAAGACCATTACGACCTTTTGGCCCAACAAGGAAGTTCACCCACCAAGCCAATTTCCCCTCAGATCATACTCTGCATCAAGTCCTTTGAAGGCATACAAAGCCTTTGTATCCACCTCCAAAGCCTCCTCACCTAATATTTCTGACTTACAACATCTAGTCACACGTCTCATCTTGCCACATATTAAACAGTAGTTAGGTAACCTTTCATAACGAAAATCAATCCAAATCTCCCCATCATCCGGAAACTCGACATTAGCTCAATGCATAAGTGTTCACAGACATCAAAGCAAAACTTGATGAGCAAGAATCGACCAATGTAGTCATAACCATCATCTTTATCCACCTTAAGCACCTTGCCGATCAAACCCCTTATCACAGAAGCCACCGCTTCCATCATATTAAGCGGAGGAACATTATGTAGTTGAACCCACATTGAAACCAAATGAAGGGGCTCCACCCATCGACCATGGCGAACGCCATATACCATCAACACCAAATCATCACGGAAAAGCCATGGTTTCTTCCCCTACAAGACTCTACACATATCCCGCCAACCAACAAACCAAGCTATGGATTGAGCCCCACCTAGTGCCCTAATAGACACACTCTCCCTTCCTTTCCATATACTAGTGAATTGATCAATAAATCCATTGTCATTGACAACTTTGTTCGTGAAAACTTCCGCCACAACACTGTAATGGAAGCCCAGCAAAGCACCCTCAACAACCTTCTTTTCAATCTTGATTCCTCCCTTCTCCTTCTCCGACAACAATAAACTCGTTCCAAAATTCTCTGCCAAAGACTCCATATTCAATTTTCCATTCATCGCCATTGCCAAACCCTAGATATCCCACGAACCCCTACCACACCTAGAGTACCACCAAATCCCACTATTGTTCTCACTTAGAAAAGATCAAGTTGTCCACCAGACAGAGAAGTAGTCGCAGATTCAAAACCAAGTAGCGCCGTCACTGGCAAGGAAGCCCTAACCCTAGCCTTGTCGCACACGCGAAGCCCCCCTTTACAAGGACATATAGTACATTACTCTAATCAATATTGATATTTATTTCGATTCATGTTCTTTTTTTTATTTCAATTCAAGCGAATTAGTAAACAACTTACATGGTTCAGTAATATTCCTACTCATATTCGTTTAAATTTTAGTAAATTGTTTCAACATAAATCTGATTCTGACTCCACCCTCCGTAATTCAATTCCTCTTATTCTAACTACAGATTAGTAAACAAGCAATAAGTTAAAATATACTTACACAAACTAAGAATATATCAACCTTAGAATTTGAAATCAGAATTCTAACTCCTCCCTGAAATTGAAAATCAAAATACTCATTAAATTTATTTTCAATCTAAACAATTGATCTTACAAAACTTTATATATTTCTTACTTCTTTAAGCTGCCAGGGTTACGTACCCAAACATATATAGAACATGTTTGTAACAAATCCCACCGATCGAGTCTGTTAACTTGTCCGGTTGTACCAACATCAAAATCATCATATCATCTTTCTGTCAAGTATTGTGTTCATTAACGTGCTGGGTTTATATTATGTTGTAGTACTTCATGCCCAGGTTGTAAGTTTTATTTTGAAAAGGAAGATTATATAATTGCTTTATTGGGTGCTCTTGCATATGAACTTCATCCATTATATTAGACTAATCAGGTGACGCGAGCAGTGGCGGATTTTTTTTTTGGAGGGGGGGGTTAAGAAATGGCGCGCGTAGTGTGCAATTTAAAAAAAAAAAAATAGAAATAGCATGCATATCATCATTTCATCAAGTATGATTAGACCTGAAGTCAAAAGCAAAGACATATTGCACACCTATTAACGCTCCATTTGCATGGGTAACTAACATGTTCCAAGGCTACTTCTATATGAATACTTAATCAAGGAACACACTTATCTTGAACACACTAACAAATTGATTGATATCATTGCATTCCATTAATATGTTTGTCCAAGAATGATGGTGCTTTGTTCATTCTCTAAGATTACCATTTCATTTACTTTTCATTTTTGGATATATAGTCTTTTACTTGGTTCTTTTCTTTCTACAATTATAATCACAACCAACAAACAAGTCAAAGGTAAATAATATTAGGACTAGACTGTGAAGGGCAACTCCAACCTTCAAAAGGGTAGCACCCAAGTCATCTATGGAGATTCACCTGAATTCGTAAGGTTAGCATACCCCCTTGCTCCTAAGTCGGTCTGCCCCTAGACGTGAGTAAGGAATGGAAGCATGGCCGGTGAATGTCACGACCTGATCGACTTCCAGATGGAGTTAAGTGCCAAACTTTTGAAGCCAGTGTTGGCACTTGGCTGTAGCACCCTATGATGTGCTTGTGTCTGGTTATTTAGCCACACTCACCTAAACCAATCCCATGCTCAAAATATCTTATGATTTCAGCAATATTTTAACGGAGCAGTTTGTTTGTATGCATGGATGATTAGTATGTGTTCGTTCATCATCATACTATCTTTGTGTTAAGGAGTATGGACGGCTCCCTAATCATCATACTATCTTCGTGTCAAGTAGTATGTGTTCGTTAATTTACTGAATTCGTGTTGGGTTTAAATCATGTTGTAAAAATGGAAGCAAGTCCGGTGCATGCATGTCACCACCTGATTTCCAGATGGAGCAAATGCAATTGCCATATATATTAAAATATCTTACCTATGCATGTTTTTCCGGCGTTTCATGCACCAAACCTTTCCACTTCCAGTCGAAGCCGACAGTTGGTTATTATTTGCATCAATTAAATAAAAGAAAAACTAATGAAAATAGCTTTAAAACTTTGAGTTTTAACGATAAGGTAAAAATAAAGGATAAAGTGAAAAGTAGTATGATTGATTTTTTAGTGTAAAAATATGGTTTTTTGTTAAAGTGAACAGTACCGTGGACTTTTCGTTAAAACTCCCTTAAATAAATAGATGTAGTACTAGTTACGAGTGGTGCATTTCCTTGGTGTTACTGGGTTCAAACACTCTCCTTTTTTTTATGTAGTTTAGAACAGTAATATAGTTTGTACTAAAAAAATAATAAAACATAAAAAAACTTATATTTTACTCAATTTTCATATTTTTTTATCCAATTTACCTATTAAATAATTTATTGTTGCATACTCTTTTTGCAAGAGAGAAACAAGAAACTAACTATGTCCCTTTCGGAAATCCTCTGGACAAGTTTAGGTTTAGGTTTAAGTCGCGATATGGGTGGCTTTTTTATATTGTACACACTAATATAAAACCTATGAAAGCAAAGGTTTCGGATTCCAGGTAGCGCCGTATTAGATTTGCTTTTTGGTTCTTTTGGAACTTTTCACGTTACTTTCTATTTTAATATTAGCACCATTTAGAGGCGTTTGTTGTTTTTTTTGTTCTTAAAAGTAACAATATTCTTGTTGATTCTTTTACAAGCAAATTTTTATAAAAGCTATGACTGTGTAACTTTTTTTGTTAAGGTGGGTGCAATTCACTCTATTTTTTTAATCTTCTACGTACTTTTCTTAATTTTCTACCGTCAAATTGAATAAATTTAAGAAATTAAAAGACATAAATTAATAAAAAATGCATGGACAGCACCACCCATCTTAATCGTGTTATATGACACACTAAAATAAAATATTATTAACATTCCAAAATATTCATTATGTAGCCCTTTTCTTTTCTTTATTAAGGACGGAAGTTAATATGCTTGTTGCAATACACCTTGACTAATTTTCCAGATCCATATTACTCTTGAAAAAAAATACTTAGTAAAAGAAAAACAAAATTCAGCTAAGGGGGTTTTTGTTTTTAATTATTAAGGTATTGGTGTGGATCCAAAACACAAAACGTGTCCAATATATTAGTATCACTTAGTACTACGGTTTAGTGATATTCCTCATAATTTGTAAGTGAGATTTTAGATTTCATTTTCACCAAATGCGAATTTAAACCACATTATTGCTAGCCATTATGAAGTTTAGCTCACTTTCCACCTCCTTAATGTAAATAATATAGTTTGTTAAAAAAAAACAAAAGAAAAGGTGACGGCTGCCAGGAGACTAGTACTCGTGCAGGCCAACGACTAATCGGGGCTCAAAAACCAAAAAACAGAAATGGTGGCGAGCCACTTAGTTGGCGGTGGTGGCCTAAAATGGCGAAGAGCCAAAGTTGCCGAACGGTGGCAACGGTGACAAGCATAAATATTGGCTTTGAGGTGTGCAAGAATTTATCCAACGTTTTGTTTATGGTGTAGAAAAAAAGCCTGGTGAATTGAGTCACTACCACATGGAAGACTTTAGCCTAGAACAGTTGGCAAAGGCTCATTGAATAATCGATCTCCTCGGGCCGTCACTTCTACGCATCCATCTCTATGCTTTTCTTATTCACGTGTAAATAGTACATACACAACTTGAAAGAGCAATGCTTGCATTCCACAACTAGAAAAGAAACGATATCAAATGAAGTGGTACCTCTCTCTCTCCTCTCTCAAATGTGTGGTTGCTCATTAATCTTAATTCCAAACGGTAACTTTTTTTATTATGTAATTCTTTTTATTTAATTGCGCCGTCTTAGCAATATGTAACATTTGACATGATGCAATGGTATATATGGATAATATTGTGAGTTATTATTAGGAATAGTCCACTTCTTTGAAATAGGTCCGATGAACATAATCTTTTTATTAATTTTATAAAATTGAAAGTTGTAAAGAATGCAATATCTTTTAAATTATAGGATTACTTATAATACTAGGAATTAAACGATAGGATTAGATTTATCCATCTATATTACACGTTTTTAGATAAATCGTTTTTAATTACCTATATATAATAGATCTTGTTTGCTTGTAATCTACCCTCTTTTATAATTAGTTTTATTCATCTCTATCTTAAATATATTTCTCTTATGATATACGTATGTTACAAACGGGACTAAATCCAAAAAACAACTTAAGTTTTTTTGGAACTGGATCTGTTTCCCCATAAAATATAATGTCTCTCTCTTCCTTTGTTATAAAAAAAATAAAAAATAAAAAATAAAAACTAAATTTGGATCACATAATCATCTCAATAAGGAAAAAAGAAAAAATTGGACCACATAGCCAATATAAAGAAAGCTGGGCAAACCCTAGCTTTACCGAAAAATGACACGATAGGAATGGCAATGACCTAATAATTTTCTTGGCCATTAACTGAAGAACGTGAGCAGTACCTTATCAGCTCCAGAAAAAAAAGATTCATACAAATGCATGATTGGGTCATCAGTATACAGAAAAACATGGTTTCCCACGTAAGACCTTGGATCACAATGCACATTACACATTATATAATTTAAAACAAAAAAAAATTAATTAACATAATATGTCGACGTTTGTCGATCGACCGCATAATGCACGCTCACGACTTATAATGCATTGTTGCGTAGGGTTATCTCCTACATTTTGTCAAGTTGTCGATCGCATGGATCTGTTGTTTACCATAACTAGTGTTTTAGCTGCTAAACAATTGAAAAGCAGCTAGGGTGATTGGTTTGCTATAGAACAAGAAAGAAGAAAGTCTAAAAGAAATCTTGAAGAAATTGGGAAAGTTCACATCTTCGACCTAATTAATTTACATTTTAATAATCTTTAGAAAACAAAGTTTCACATGTTATGAAGGGAAATGGTATTATCTGCACACTTCTTTTTCTACTTATGCATACTTTTGTTTATTTTTTCATTGGTTCTATTTTGATTTATTTTATCCAAAGTCTCAAAATAACCAGGAGTATTTGAAGGGAGAAAATGTACTTTTGAATAATTTAAGAGGCTCCACATGCCAAAA